TCTAAGAATTTGCTTTTTTATTTTCAGCAACGCAGCTGGCTAGTTTGAGGTCACCCATGAGAAAGCCTATGTCTTGTTTAATCCAAACTAGCTCTGTGTGTTCTGCAATTCTCAAAATGGAGCTGTGTATTACATTGTCATACTGAAATCAGTATGAGGGCTTGAGTATTTGATTTTGACTGACAATGTCGGTACTGTAATTTGATAGGTCTAATGTTTGTGTAGAAGGGCACTAAAAATTGTATATAAAATCACTACAGCTCAAGCAGCCACTGGTGATGTGTGATACCACTTAATTCCTATACCAAGTAATACCCAGGTTGGTATTTCCAATACCAATCCCAATACTTCTAGTTTAATGTGTCGGGGAGCCGTTTTGATGCGTCATTGAGTAGTTCACACATAACGACTGGTGACCCCTGATCACAGCCTGACGGTCGCCGAGATCACTGACACGGCAAATCGGGCTTAAAATCGTGTAGTGTGAACTAGGCTTTAGCTGTCCCAGTATAAATATTCTCTGTATGAATTCTCCATGATTCTCCAAATCCATGGTTCGATTCAGACCTTGATTTTTGAGCCATGGCTAATTAACTAGCCTAACTTGCAGACATTATCACTCGATCATGACTTGACCAAAATAGTCACTTGATACACTCAATTATAAGACAATAAAATAGGTGTACACAATATATATATATATGAAAAAATATAGCCCAGGCCTAAAGTTTGCCCTAACTTTAAATACAGTGCTTTGTGAAATAATAAATTCCTACTAGAAAGAGAAATATACCCCGATAACACAGCGGAAGCGAAACACAAGACCGTGGACGTTTGTTTGTAACGGTTCTGAAACCGAGACCACAAAACAAACGTCCACGGTCACGTGTTTCGCACGCAGCCCTATTAATAGGATATTATTATTGTGTACAGTTCCCTCCCACCTCTGAAAGCCACGTTGTAAATAAAATTGATTTCATAATAATGAAAATTCTGCTGCAGAAATACATTCACTATAACAGCTACAGTGTGATGAATAAATAGAATTTCCCTATAAATAAAAAAAACATTTACAGCAAGCAGGTAAAATAACAAATAAATGAATCTTTCTACATCACTATGTTCAAGCTCCAACAGTCAAACAGCTGCCTTTGAACCTCATACACACTACCACACTATAATCCTAAAACTATTCTTTGTGGGACTTTGAACTGATTGAGCAAAGACATGAGGTATATGATTTAAGTGTTTTGGTGTCTGGCTGGTAGCAAAAGAGAATGTGGTGAATTTTCATGCTGTGAGCCTCAAATTGCAGAGGTCTTACAAACCAAAAATGTAACGATGCATTGGATTTCTCCAGAGAACGACAACTTTGGTTTATTTACAATATTAAAATAGGTTTCCCTAGTTTAGTGTGTGTGAAAGTGGAAAAATGAATCACACAGTGTTATCTGACTGTGGCAAGAGCCACTAAAACACAAATAGATAAAAAACACTTTTCAGCTCCTTTTCATTCACAACAGCTGAAGTTCGAGTGTTGATTCCTCTTGACCGCAGCTGCAGACACAATCCAGCCTGTCCAACGTGAGGGGACATACAACTATGGCACGTCAGATTGATTAATTTTGTCGTTTTCCCACTGCAGAGCATTCAACATTAAACACTGTTTGGATTTGTTCACAGGGGCAGGAAGGTAAGCTGTTGGCAGCCGCCCAAACCACAGTAAGTGATGGAATGTGCTGCACTTCATATCTGATTCTGGTCCTGGTACTCAGCGGAGAACACAAAGGAAAGACAACAGACGCTACCCAGTGACCAGAGAGCGACAACAGGACACCACTCAGAAAACAATCTGCTCTGCAATGTGGCCTTTATGGAGAAAACCAAAGACATAGTGACAGGCACCCATGACTGGAACAACAAACAAAACGAAGAAACGCTAACATGTTTAGCCTCATTTGGGATGTATCTCAACTAAAACCTCTAAAGCCATTGGGAACATTGGGAAAGTGTAAGGTAACCACTGTGTGCGTCCTCCACTTTCACAAGCGGTTTTCTGTGTAGTGAATCTGTTTATTACTAAATGAAAAACACACAAGAGGATGTTCGAAAAGGTTTCATTGAACGAACGGACAGTAGCTGTTCTACTGGCACACTGTTATATGTACTTGATAAGATTTAATAAAGTCTTAACCTATCCTTTTCACCTAGCACGTGCCTGGAATTTGGACAGCAAAATCACCAATCAAATTGTGCGATTGTGGAGTCGATCTCTATTCAATAAGCAGTGAATGTTTCATGTCGTTATAAGCCACACCACCACAGGCCATCATCCAGTAGAGGATCTCCTAATTATCGCTCTCTTTAGTTCTGCCTCTTTTATTTGCTCGCTCCCTCAGCCTGTCCCTTTGACTCTGCCATTTAGACTTTTTCTGTCTCCAAGTCGCAGGTCTGTCTTTCTGTCTTTCACTCTCAGCTCTATTCTCTGCACCACAGACAGTAGTAGAAGGGAACACAGCAAGAAATAAGCAAAGGCATAATGCTTTTCTGTCTTCTCATCTATCATCTCTCTCCCACTCGCCTTCTCTACACTCTCATCTTGTTAGATGGTTCATACACTGGAAATCACAAGAAGCAGAGATATGTGCTACCCTCTCTTCCTCTCTCAAGCGTCAAGCCTTTCTTTCATTCACCTCTCTTTCACCTCAATCATGCAGCATGTCAATTATATACTGCACTACACTATCGTGGACCGACCAAATGCATTTTCCTGCATCAGATTACAATGATTCTGCCCTCTTTTCAGTTTTAAATACTTGACAAAAACGAAAACATAAATCACAAATGTGAAAATGAACTGTACAATTGAGTCCAGAAAACCATTTGATCTCTGTTATGTGTCCTCCCCATCTCTGATTTATCCCCCACCCAGGCCCTTTACTGTATTTCTCCAGCAGCCACAGTTACAACAGACCAAAAGCTGAATGTTTATAGACATAATAACTCTTGTCTTGGCAGCCTGAGTATCCAGCACTTGACTTGGTAAGTTACAGATCAAAGACATACAGGACTAGCAAATGTTTGTGAACAGGGAAAGCCCTAAAGTGCTTTGCAGATAGGGCTGTGATATATGTCTGCTTGATGTGGACGCATAGCAATAGACATCTCCATCTCCTTATTTTTCTTCTATTAGGAACTATATGACAAATATTGTGTGTGTGTGTGTGTGGGGGGGGTCTTTTCTTTGCAATTAGATACATAAATACACTCACTGAATCCATTATTGAGTAAATATAAAATATTGAGGCAAATATCTTCCTGCTGGGTAAGACTTTTTGCCTTGACTCCAATGCGAATCATTTATTTTACAGTAATGTGCCCACCCTGCTGTTTAAGATTGCAACACTCTAGACAAAAATTCTGAAAAATCCGTCTTGGAGGCTGAATGTAAGACTGAATGATAAACTTAGATAAAGGGACTGTTCCTTGCCTTATCATCGTGTATGACATATATGTAATTTTAACCACCTTTTATTACTCATATATGTGACTCGGGATATATAGGACAGTCAAATATATATTTAACATGTTAACAAATGCAACCCCTAAACCCCATATTATCATTCAGCATTTTTCTCCACATACATAATGGACTTCGGAACCTTGGAGAAAAAGATTGCAAAGAGGACTCAATGCATCACAAAACTGCACTAATGTTTATTTTGTATGCATTGAAGCACCTGTGCTGCCCACTAATGTTTGCAAATGATCACTGAAGACAACATACAATGACGCAACGCTCAGTCATGAATTAAGTGCACCTGTATGCACGCTGTGGCGGATGCTCTTATATCACTGCAATGGATGTGTTGTGGTAGCAGTGAACATGTTTGTTTAGTTGTATGAGATGTGTTTATCTAACAATAAACACATTTAATAGCCACAGTCTGTGCAGCGGAATACAAGGTGCACAAGGGACTGAGGGCCAACATGTTTGTTCTCTCACTTGCGTGATGCTGCCCAAGTGGGTCTAATTAGTTTCAAAATCACACCTGGACAATTAACTGTTCTAACGATTAAATTTGCGTTATTCAGTGTTAAAGTTTATGCAGAGAATGTGTCTATTCTGCTGGGTACATGATCAGATGCATTTTTCTACTATACAGAAAAGTATGCCCATGGTTCATTTGTGTATGCCTTATAATAGCAAAGTCCACTGTAAAATGAATGAATAAATAAATGAATAAATAAAAAATTAAAACAATGTCATGTTAAACACAAGTTTTGAGTTTGTACACATACTGGCCTCAGTTATTTTAGGTTTGAATATGTTCATAATATCATAATTCTGTTTAGGATGTCCATTATTTTGTAGTCTTCAGTGCAGATATGTGCCTGGACTTTTGTTTAATAAGAATATTTCGTTTATGCAACAATAAATGATCTTGTAGTTTAAAGATTTCAAGAAATTGTGTAAAAAAAATGTCAAAACTCTGGAGTGTTTGATATAAAAGACATTACTTATAACACTGCATTACTGTGTTCCTGAACGGGTCAAATTTTCCTTGACATCCACCTAACTGAAACACACTTTTGACAGACCCGGGCATGCAGACCAAGCGCAGATCCCAGATGCACGATGGTTTAGATAACACTGCATTTGAACAGCGGCGAAGTGACACTAACTGCAGTTGCTGGAAATCTGGAAGCCTTTCCAGAAATTAAACTGTGTCCTAAGCTTACCTCCCAAAAAATCACAAGCCCACTGTGACCAACAATGCGTCAGCGGCTCTCAATAATGAGTTTGTAAATACTATAGATCGCACTTCTAACTAAAATCTCAATTTTTTAGATGCTTGTGTTGTGATCTTTAGAGATTTAGTCCAGCCTATATTTTTCCCCATGTAAGCTAAGTGAAGACATTTCAGTTGACTTGAAGCACCTGTGGAAAAATCATAAAACTAGACTATAGGCTATGAATTATATACAAAAGAAATTACCTTTGGCCACACGGGATTCCGCTTATTTCCCCAGTCTGGACTTCACTGCTGCTCATCTTCTGAGCAGCATCTAGCAGATGCAATATTTCCTCTCACTTTAGGTGGCTCGCTGTAATCCAACTTTCAAAATAAATTAACTGCCTGCTTCGTTCAGCTTCGGAAAGAAGTCATCTGTCCTGATGTCAGCGACTGCAAATAAGTTCACCGTAACTAAAAGGTTTAAAGGGGAAATTCAATTTAAAAAGTAAAGTAGACGTCTAAGCTCTGTGGTTGTTGTTGGCACCGGTGGCTGAGTGAGCGCGAGCCGCACCGCTGCTAACGTGCGCTCCTTGTACCCCAGTGACGTAACAGGGAGGGGGGTATCCTGTCTAAACCCAGGACTGAGGTGTGTGTGTGTGTGTGTGTGTGTGTGTGTTACAGTCACGGTTGAACCTTTTTATATACAGTCTATGGGTTGAACGTGATGAACAACAATGGTTAAAGGAAAAGTTCAACCTTTAGGGAAATGCACTTAAGTTTTCACTCTCTGCAGCAGCAGGCTAACTTAGCTGAGCATAAAGATTAGAAACATGGGGAAACAGCTAGCCTGGCTCTGTCCAAAGGTAACAAAGTCTGCCTACCAGCACATTCTGAAGCTCACTAATTAACACACTGTATCTTCTATTTTAAATTGTAAAAAAAAAAAAAAAAAGCCAAGAAATAGCCATGGATAGCCCTGTAAAACAGCAAAAAGTGTTTTTACACTTCTGGTTTTGTATGGATACAAAAAAAATGAGATTGCAGTACTGGTATAATATTCCTATAGGGACTGATAATGTTTGCATTTAGTGACATGTCATTTAATCATAATGTTTAATAACAATTGTAACTAGAACTGCAAGCAAGTGGGGATCCAAGCCTCCCAGCGTGAGCTGGCCCACCTGGCCCCACGGAGTGCGCGCGAGTCGGCTCGGGCCCGCCATGATTAATCGTCCCATAATGACGGGCCCCTGAGCCATGGCGGGGCTGTGGAGATTAAATGAGCAGAGTTATAAATGAAAGGGGCTTGTGGTTATGGAGATCTGAAATGAATGTATGTCTATGGGAGTCTTATTTGATTTCCAATTGATAGCGCTACCTAGAGGCCGATTGACGGAAAATTTCACACAGGCCCTCAGGAGGCCGTGCCAGATAAGGTCCCCGAGTTTGGTGTAGATCGGACATTGCAAACGTAAGATCTAACATGACATCCTGTTTTCAGCATTTGAGTAAACATTTGTTAGCTTGTAATTGGGACATTTTTTGGCGCAAGATTCCCTCTACAAAACTTTCTTCGGCTTGGTCCAGAGATCGTCCGTGCCAAGTTACGTGGCGATCGGACTTGCGGCTTCGGAGGAGTTAATTAAAATAGGTTTTTCAGTTTTCGCGATGCAGCGAAAAAAATGTTTAGGAGGAAATGGGCGTGGCCTATTCCACGAGATTCAGCTGGATCCCCCGAACGCGTGGATATAAGGTTTTTGTTATACGCCTTCGTAGGCGGGAGTTCCAAGCCCAAATGCGTTGACGTTGCTTATAGCGCCCCCTAGAGGTAGAAATGTGCGGATTTTTGTGCCTGAGGTACTCTTGGGGCTGTGAACCTACCTTGTGAGTTTGGCATCCTCAGCAGTTATGGTGTAGGCCGCAGTATCAGTTTTATGCAGGCAAGAATAAAAAAATAAATAAAAATCTGAGCGAAAACAATAGGGTTCCCAGCCGCTTGCTTCGCTGGTACTGGGAACCGCGATGCATCTCATGCCTGGGGATGTCGCACGCACAAGCAGCTCTTGAGGGGGCTGCCTGCGACCATTGCGAGGCCCTGCCCCTGAGGGTGCTGAGGTCTCGAGCGGCTCTCTTCCTAGAGGATGGTCAGATGCGCTCCCCCCGTGGCTCAGGCCCCGCGGTCGCTGAGATGTCGCGGCAGCTCCGATCCTGGGGATCACCGCGTCCCATCGGTCCTCGTCTGCGGAATCCTCCTCCCCTTGTCCTCGATCGGGAGCCCGTTTCTTGGCTTCTCCCACTCGAGGTATGAGTCCTGGGAGGAGCATCATTTCTCCTGGCACATAAATTGCCTGGAAATGTTGGCAGTTTTCAGAGCTCTGAGGAGTTTTCTGCCCGCCCTCCGCAGTCGCCACATCCTTGTCAGAACCGACAATACGGCAGTGGTGGCCTATTTGAATCACCAGGGGGGTCTGCGCTCGCGCCCATTATGCAAACTGGCACATCAGATCCTCTTGTGGTCCCAGCAGAGACTGCTGTCCCTCAGAGCGATGTAGCTGTCGAGACAGGGGCTGAGGCCCGGGGAATGGAGACTCCACCCCGAGGTGGTGGAGTTATTATACGAAGAGTTCAGCCCCATAGACGTGGACTTGTTTGCGTCCTGAGAGACGGCGCACTGTCCCCTGTGGTTCTCCCTCTTGCTCCCGGGGGTTCTGGAGCGGGTCGTCAGGACAGCGTCAGTCTACTGTTAGTAGCCCTGTTTTGGCCGGCACGAGTGTGGTTCTCGGATTTAATATCGCTCCTCGAGGGCCCATCCTGGCAGGTCCCTCTGAGGAGAGACCTGCTGTCCCAGGCGGAGGACCGGATCTTTCACCTGCACCCCGCCCTGTGGCAGCTATGGGTCTGGCCCCTGAGGGGGCGCATTTCCTAGAGGCGGGCCTGACGACAGGAGCAGTCAAGACGCTGCTCAGCACCAGAGCCCCGTCTACGAGAAGGATGTACGGCCTAAAGTGGAATGTGTTCACCACCTAGTGCAGAGAACGGGCAGTGGACCTGCTCGGTAAGTATCATACTGGAGTTCCTCCAGCACCGTTTCTCCGCGGGCCTCTCCCCGTCCACGCTCAAAGTGTATGTGGCTGCATTCCACGCCCCTCTGAGTGATGGGCCCTTGGGGAGGCTTCCACTGGTTGTGCACTTCCTCCGTGGAGCCTGGAGGATGAGACCCATGACTCGTTCCAGGGTTCCCACTTGGGACCTGGCAGTGGTTCTCGAAGCGCTGACTGAGGCCCCCTTCGAACTCCTGGAGTTGGCTGAGGCCAAGCACCTGACCCTTAAGATGACCTTTCTCCTCGTTATCACCTCTCTGAGGAGAGTGGGGGATCTCCAGGCACTTTTGGTTTCTCCCCGATGCCTGGAGTTTGCCCCGGGGAGGGTCAGGGCCATCCTGCACCCTTGTCCAGGTTATGTCCCTAAGGTCCACGGTGCTGCAGGCGTTTCATCCCCCACCTCATGTGACGGCGGAGGACGGGAGACTTCATCTGCTCTGCCCTGTCAGAGCACTGAGTATTTACACTCTGAGGTCTTCCCGGTGGAGGAAAGCAGACCAGTTGCTGGTGTGTTTCGGGTCCCCCAAGGCTGGACTCCCCGCTTCTAGACACACCATCAGCAACTGGATCGTTCAGACTATTTCCCTGGCCTATCAGGTGTGCGGTTTGCCTTCACCTATGGCCGTAAGGGCGCACTCTACTCGAGGCATGGCGGCTTCTAGGGCCCTCCTCGCAGTGGCGTCACTCCAGGATTTGTGTGACACGGCTGGCTGGGCCACCCCTCACACTTTCTTCCGGTTTTACAGTCTGGACCTTCCTTCTGCACCCGGCACCCGTGCGCTCTCCTCCTAGTTGTGCCGTCAGGTTCTGAACGCTGGAGGCAGGCAGGGTTTCAGCGCGGCCTAAGTGGGTGTCTCGTTCCCATAGTGTCATCACCGACGCAGTTCGAGTTCCCTCGAAGGGGAACGTCTCGGGTTACGCATGTTCTCGCATGCTCTCGCATGCTCTCTTGTTCCCCGAGAAGGGGAGTCAGTCTGCCACACCTCACCCCGCCTGGAGTGCCTTACTTCATAGAAAGGGCTAATGTGTCCTGTGTGCCGGCGTGCTTATATACCCTTCCGGTTACGCCGTCACACACTACCGTTCTAGCAACACCAATAGGACTGGAGTAGTTTCATTCATAGTTCAGCCCTGCCACGCCCAGAGGCGTTCCCATAGTGTCGTCACCGACGAAGTGTCTCGTTCCTCTTCTCGGGGAACAAGGGTTACATACGTAACCCGAGATGATCTGTTCACAAAGGATTAGATGGAGTGAGCTACTGAAAATGAATCAAATACTGTCAGCATTACCAGAATGAATGGAGAAATCTTTGTTTTCCCTCTAAAGCACCATAGATTATATTAACACTGTGTGGGGAATTCCTTGGACCCTTAACCAACTAATCAACCATCTGGCCTTGCAGTGAATTTGACTGCATATCCCACTGTGAACAAAACACTGTGTTTCTTCTCGCCAAACACACAGACACAGACACATACAGTTTTTAACATGAACTTTGCCCACACACAGTTCAAGGACCTTCTGCATGTGTCAATAAGCTTTGCAGAGCTGAAGCCAATGCTGACAGAATTCTCCCTGAAATATCATTGTTAAACAATCTATTATGTCATAATATAAGCTATGATTTACTGCATATTGTATAGGAGAACCATGGTGCATTCATACATAAAGTATTACTATTACTATACTATTATTATGTCATCATGCTTGTTGCATCTAAAGTGTTACTTTTGACCTATTACCCCTTCACATTTTCTTTAATTTGTTAAATAATCTTTTCTTTAGATGATACACTGATAAGAAAAGCTATAAATTCACAGAAGAAGTGGACCATGTCAGCAGATCAGATTTCTCCAACCAACACTTTATATATTGCAATCTCACTTTATCTTTTTTTCATAGAGGCACTCCATAAACTATAAAAAGAAAAGAAAATATCTGATAATTTTATACCAACAACTAAGACATATTCCTCAAGCTTTAAAACAAACCTTCGGGGCACAAAATGGAAAACACATTAAGTCTTTTCACATATGCAAGAGTGCCCTGCCTGAAAATAGCGAAAGCCATATAGTATTAACCAAATGACAGTGAAAGTGTGTGTCTGTGTCTGTGTCTGTGTCTGTGTCTGTGTGGGGGGGGGGCAGTCCCCAGACCATCCAATAGAGGGAGACAGTCGAACAATGCCAACACAGTCAGACACACAGTTGAATTAATATTTATAATAACACATACTGTTATGAAATATTAAATATGGCTTCTGATGAATAAAAATAAACAAAAATGTTTTAATTTTCCTCTAAACTCACTCCCCTTTTCACTCTCTGCTGTGTCTGCAGGCTCTCCGCATTTTCTGTCCACTATCCAGTCACATTACAGCACACACATCTGTCAACAAATGCAAGGTTAATATTTGAAGAGAGATTAGTTCTAAAACACAGGACGTATAGTTGAGATTGCAATATTTTTTGGTTTTGGAACATGAGAGC